CCCCAAAACCCCAAAACCCCAAAACCCCATTGCATAGATATGAGCAAATAAGTAATAATTATTGATTTGTAAATAAATTTTATTTTATTTAGATTCAGAATGGAATATTTACTTTACGGAATAAGTCTGCCACACAGACTAGCGAACAATGTTCAAAAAGATTTAGTGTTCAAGCAATTCTTCATCTAGCTGTTATCATCAATTGCAGTCACAGTAGCAACTGCTACATATTTATGGGGTTATGAAACTGAGAACAAGTGCGAGGCACCTTTCGATGGAGCTGACTGGAATCGCAGATCAGAATATATTGATGTCGCAAAAAGATTCAGAGATATCTTAAAGATTTGGTTCGTATTTGGATTGATAGACTGCCTTAGATGTGGTTTAGTTTTTGCTTACATTCTATATGACAAAGCAATATATGCCATCGGATATCATGTTTTAACCTTGAATGACATTTTGGGACTAGCAGCAGTGCTTATCTTGCATGTCTACAGGTTTCAATTTACTGGCAAATGGTGCTCAGGAGACTTTCTACCTGAATCCAAGGCAACTGAAGGCTTCCTAGTTGAAAGAGGCAAATTTCTAGTTGGTTTAGTCATTTATGTTTGGGTTGGAGGATTTGTGATGGCATGTGTATACAGCTGTGTGATGGTAGCTGCATATAGAAGATATGCTGATAAATAAAATGCTTCGCAAATTCAATACAAGGTCTGAAATACAGTGCATCTGATTATGAGTATAACTCTCATCAGTCATCTATAGTAGAAACATTTAATTGATTCAATTTATTATCAAACATTAATCAATAAGCTAAGAGCAAATTTTCTTAAAAGCTTAAATAACTTCTAATTTTGAATTCTCCCAATAATAATAACTATTCTCTCAATATCGTATATTATATATTTTAAACAAAATTTGAATCTATATAATCATTCTTGACTATTTGCTAAGACAATAATTCTAACTTATGGGGTTTTGGGGTTTTGGGGTTTTGGGG